AAAAGCATAAGTACCAAAAAGTCGCTGAGTTTTCAGAGCATGCCATTAAATTGTGAGTTTTGAATAATTTTATGAGAGGGAAAACTACCTGAATATTGCAAAATTTATCAAGTTTTCGGCGCTGTTGGAACACCGAAAAGCTCGGAAATTTTTATTGAAGTCATTTGGTGATTATTTTGGTAAAGCTAGAAATAAAATATATCATAAAATTTGCTAAATGTGGTAAAATTTGACAACTAGAGCTTGGCATAAAAACCAGCAATTTGGCTAAATTTACTTAAGTTTTTACTAAATGTGTGGTAATAAGAACTAAAATTTTCAAAGTAGAATTTCTGGTAAATCGCTATCATATGGTAGAGAAAATTACCAATTGAATGGTTCAAAATCCGTATATTTTGGTTTTATTATTCAGGTTTGTGTTTTTTTATTATTTAGAAATGTCATCACCATATAATGCGGTAATTTTATAATATTTTACTTCCTCGTGCGATCTTAAATTTTATGTTTCGACAATGTATTCAAATTTTGACTGATTTTATGAATTTTCATAGTATTTTTTTGTTGGATGCGTAAACAAAGTTTAAAAAAGCATTTATCATATAAAATGATAAAAAGAAAAAAATTATCTTAGTATCTGCTGCATTGTGAAAAATTCCAGATCAAATCACGGTAAAAGTACTGGCACCCTGCGTGGAACATCCGTAAAATCTATTTTACCGGAAAATTTTATACCTTATTGTTTACAGTAATATTTATTTAATTGAAGTAATTCAGTGATTTTGCAAATAATATTGCTGTAAAAGTTCTTGTCGCATTTTTGAGCTGTAAAATTTTATAGGAAAATGGATTCATAAGAAAAAGTGCTTGCATCCTGCTGGCCAGTTTTTTTACCGCATGTTTGATCCGTGTTTTACAGTTAATGTTTCATCCGTAATTTTTTACAGTTTTTATCACTCATATGTATAAATCATTTATCACATTCTGTGCACGAGAATTTTTTCAGGGATGCTAATGTCTAATGGGGTTTCATACAAACTGTTGTTTACGAGAGAGAAACCTACTTTATTCAAGTGTGGTTGATAAGCTGTCATTGATATGCTGTAAAAAGTAAAGAAAAATGTGTGGGAGAGCAGTTTATTTGTAGTTTTTGAAGTAGTTTTGTGGAAAAAAACGTCTTCCTGAGTGAGTTTGCAATGTGTTATTAAAAAAATAGTTAGTTTTAAACTTTATTCAAGGTATTTCCAGCCTTTTCGTAATAAAACTGTTTAAAATTCGCGATCGCAACACTCGAGTACGCCCTCTAGTGGGAGACTGAAAATATTGGGCATTAGTTCCCACATAACCATTGGCAATGACGGACGCCATTTTCTTAGTAGCAAATAAGAATAAAAGTTCCCTAAGGAAAAGGTAGAACTTCTTGAAAAAACTAACCAGAACATGCCAAACATTGAAGCAGAACACGCCAAGCATTTGAAGAACAATTTCTCAATAATTTTTACCTTTCTATTACCAACAACATAATTTCCAAGTTCATGATCACTTGCTGTTACAGTTGAGTGTATTAAGGTAAAATAATTTGCTCTGTCTTCAGTTCATTACAAATTAAAGTGAAGTCAACATTGCTTTCGTCACTCCAATGAATAAAGTGAATTCAGAACTTAGAGAACTGTAATAGTTATAGAATATTCTTCTTCTTTATAGAGTAGAATATATTTCTGTATCTATATAATTCGTAAAACAACAATAAAGAATCATCCGAACTACTGGAAACAGTTTCATTTGTGCTGATTATTATAATTTTTCATCGTTTTCTTGGTAAGTATTTTTTAGTTTTGAAAGAATAATTTCAACTAGAATTCAGCAATTCTGTTTTTAAGCTACATATTCAAATTCATATCGAGATCTTACAATTTTAAAATTTTGATGTGTGGTATGTTATCTAAAAGTAATGAAGGGATAATCTATGCATATATTATTTGAAAATAAAATTTTCAAACGAAGAAAACCGGTAAAAAAAAGTCGCAAGCCAGCTTCGAGGGTCGGGTGGACTGACCACCTGTGGTGACCAACCCTTTGATTTAAACCACTTTGAAAATATATAGCAAAAGAGGCTTACCAAGTTTATATATACATTCTTTTGGATTTCTTTCAGTACATCTTATCTTCTAAGCATACTCTGCGTGATCTGCTTTTCTCTTTCCTTCCGCTGCTTTTCTATAATTTTTTTTCTTGTATGACAAAAAAAATTTAGAAATTTTCGGAAAGGTCAAGTTGTATATAATGAGACAGAAAGTTATTGTAGTTTTTGAGTTACTCCCATGATGGGGGTGGAGTCGTAAGACTTTAACCTAATCGTTTATTTGTTTATTCTATTCATATTTAAGTTACTATTCACTGATTGAGAATTCCCAAGATAGGAGGATTCGAGATCGAGGATTTTGAGATCTTCTACGAAGATGGTTTTATCCTCTTCTCGTGTTTCTAATTTTGAGAGACGATAAGCGTCACACTAATAAAAAATTGACAACTTTTATTTTTGCAAAAAGTTATTAAAAAAGTTAAATTAAAAAAAAAATACTTTAAAAAAAATTATTTAATCTAACTGATGTCAAATTTTAATATGTTTTGAAGTAGAATTTTTTTAACCCAAATACAGATTATCTAAAAAATAAATCTAAAAGGAATGATGTTTTATTTATTTATTATTTAGATTAACCCTTACTAGCAGATGAGTATTTTAATGATACTTTTCCACACAGTTAAAGCATCTTTTCGGGTACAAATTATCCTTAACTTCTTAGAAATGTTACTTTTATTTATAAAATGAATCCTTACTGAGCAGTAAAATGAGTCTTTTTTAAATCGAAACATTCATTAAAAAAATAATTCAGATTTTAATAACATGTTCATCTGGTCTTAAGATTGCCTACGCAGTCAATTTCATAAAAAGAACGATAGACCCTTGTGTGGTAAACTTCTTTACCCAAGTACGGTAGACGGATCTTATTTTATCAAAAATAACCATTGCACTTCAGAACTGTGTTCAGTTACTGAAAACATGAAAAATTCTAAAATATATTACAATTATATTTATTTAAATAATTGATGGGAACTGCTTTTTCACAACTGTTAAGGTACTAAGTTGCCTTTGTGAGAGAAGAGAGTTTATTTTAAAGTGGCTTCTATAAGCCACTTGTTTTAATCTGGCACTAGGAAAATATCTAATTGAAAAGAGATTGCGAAAATTTTCTTTTAAAATTCAATAGTAAGAGAAAATTTATAAAAAAACTTATACAAATCTATTCGAATATTATAGAGTTAGTAGATATTTGTTTAATCTATAATAATAACGCACGCAATATATTTGAAGAAACATAGACTGTAAAAAATCAAATTAGACTGTAACTATAACTAATTAAAGAATTAGACCGTAACTAGTTAAAGTACGGCATTAAGTATTGGCATTTGGGGTACCTCATCTGTAAAATTAATTTTACAATAATATCCAATTTAATTGTAAACTATTATACCGTAATTTTTATCCAATTTTATCTATTTATGTAATTAGAGTGATTCAGTGGCAATATTGTTTACTGTAATTATTACTGTAAAAATTATGGTACATCATATTTTTTGTTCCGCAATATATTTCAATAAAAATAGATTTTGCGTAAAAAGTACCTGCCATCTAAGTGCTAGTACTAATCATTTTAATAATAATTTCTTAAAACTTCTCAAAAATATTTCTCAAACTGTAATAGTAAGAGTAAAAGATTAAACAAAGATAAACATATATACTCTGCTATTACTTTTATATAAATATCATCTACTGGAAATATATTTAAATTCGATGAAATATTTTGTTTAGTAGTAAAAAAAATTAGTGTATAGTTATGGAATGCATAATTTTTTTACTATCTACAGTTTTTGAAGTAGTTTTCACAAATTGTATTTCAGCCTGAACAATAAATTTTTACCATTTAAAAAGGCAAAACTGACTGTAAGATTTATGTCTTACAAAATGAATTACAGGATATAAACTACACTATATTAGTAAAAATGGTTGAAGTAATGCATTATTTTTACTAAAATGTAGTACTAAAATGATGCATTCATAAATTAGCGAAAAAAATGTTTTATTATTATTCAAAGCTTCTGATTTATGTAGCGTAAATTATTTTAAGGTTACATAAAATGGCCTCCATGAACCAAAGATCTAAATATTCCTTAAGATATATACTTGGATATTACTTTTATATAAATATCATCTACCAGAAATATATTTTAAATTCTGTGAATTCTTTTGTTTATTAGTAAAAAAATGAGTGTATAGTTATGGAATGCACAATTTTTTGACTATATGCAGTTTTTAAAGTAGTTTTCACAAATTCCATTTAAGCCTGAACAATAAATTTTTACCATTTAAAAAGGCAAAACTGACTATAAGATTTATGTCTTACAAAAAATGAATTACAGGATATAAACTGCACTATATTAGTAAAAATGGTTGTAGTAATGCATTATTTTTACTAAAATTATGCATTCATAAATTTACGAATTTTTTTTATTTATTATTATTTAAAGCTTCTGATTTATGTAGCGTAAATTATTCTAAAGTTACATAAAATGGCCTCCATGAACCAGAGATCTAAATATTCCTTAAAACAATAAATATCCTCCGATAGAAATACATTTTAAATCACTCGCTATAAATTCCTCTCAATTATTCATCCAAAAAACACTCTCAAAACAATAAAACAGCGCATAATTTAAGCAACTTCAAACATAAAGTAATTCCTCCAAATAAAATTTTATTATTAGAGCGAGCGAAATGTTATATAATCGAACAAAACCAACAACCTGCAACTCATTCACGATCCCCAGACCTATATATTTTTACTCTTTCTCCAACTTAAGAAACAAAAAAGAAAAGAAAATCCGCGCCTTCAAAATCGGGTCGCTTTCTAAAAGGATGTGGCTCCAAGGGAATTGAAAACGAGGCTAACTCACTGGACGCTAGACCACGTGACTTAGGTAGTAAGGGTGTCGAAGAGAAAGATTGGGATAAAACAAAACCGTTAACTGTCGAATCTCTTTTTCCCACTGTTCCTAAGAATCCTCCCAAGAGCGCACGGAGGATTTTACTTGATCCTGAAACTTCGTTACGCACTGGATCACCAGACTACCTGAGTGATCATTTCTCCTTCGGCAGCGTGATCGACTTTATCAGTGTGTTAGTGTTTGTTCGATATAGTGAAGGAAATTTTGTTATTGGGGAGTGAAGATTATTTATTTCAGGAACTAAGTGTGATAAATTTGTGCCATGATAGAAAATTGGAGGTAAGTTTTAAAAAGTTTTCTTAAGTATTTGCAAAAATCTGTTCAATTTTATGTCATTTAATTTATCTTTTTTGGAATTTTTTTAACCGTTTAAAAATTTTAGTGAGATCCCTATGTATAGAAAAATATATTTTTTTATATATTTTTGAAAAAAAATTATTAATGAAAAAAATAAGAAGAAAGAAAATCTGAAATATATTGAAAATGTTTCGATGATGTATATCGACATTATCTGAGTTTTGAAAATGCATCTTACACACGCTATTTGAGAGATTTAAATTTTATATATAAATTAATGAATAATTACAATTTAAATTTTAAAAAAAATTATAAAGTCTTATAAAAGTTTAAAACACTCAGTTTTCAGAAATCTTCTTCTAACTCTTTCAACCTAATGATGAACAGTAAAAAAGGTTTTTTTTTCCTTGATATAAATTTTTATAGGATTCTTATGTTATAACTAAAACAGAATATTGGCTGTTATAGAAAATAATCTTAATGCGAAAAAGTCAATATTGTTAAATAAATTTTGAACATTTTAAAAATGAAGAAAATTATATTGAAAATGTAAATTTATTTGATGCATTAAGTTTTTCATAAAATTAATTTTTAGGATAGATGCACAATTTTATGTCAAAGTAATTACAATATCTTGACTTAAAGTATTAAAACAATATATTTAGCTAAATGTACGCAATCCTCCTAAAAATAGCCTCAGCAGTAACAGAGGTTTGAAGAACTATTGAAGTTAAATATATACAAATGAAGCTGTCTAAGTGTCAGGAAGAATTTTAAAAGGAAACAAATATTGAAATAGTGACATGACAATGCAAAAACAAAGAACCTTTTTTAAATATTTAATATAATAATACTATTTCTCCATAACGGAAGTAAATAAAGGGGAAAGGAAAAAATATATCCACTTTATGTTATTTACTTATACAAAGAAATCTTGGATTTTATTCTGTGATTTCTAAAAAAGTATATCTTCCTTATTAAAAAGAGGCAGAAATGGACTGTTATGTTTTAAAAATTAGGGAGATATTATTTTCATACGGTCTTCGAAGGAAATGTTTTGAATATAAATATAAATTTCTCGTAACTTCATAAAAAGTCACTTTATTTATTTTGAGGAACTGGGATTCAATCTTCTAAGGTAGACTGAAGCCCCTTTAGCTTCAGATTGATGGATACCAGTTTGTCTAAGAAGTAAAAACGACATGTGCGCCATTGTCACAATCATACCTTAGTTGTGAATTGCATGACTCCCCTAACACACATCGTGCTGTTTCAGGAAAATTGTACTTTCTGAGACTAATTATTGGTGAGCATAAGATTCGTGGTTTAAATATTAAAAAAAAGGTCCTAAAGTGAATATGAGATTAATTATCCATGAAAATTAAGTTGATAATATTAAACTTAAATTAATTGTTATTGAAATGCATTATATTTTTAATTTAAATTTATAAATTTTGTACTTATTATTATATAATAATTATATATATATATATATATATATANATATATAAATTAAAAGTTAATTTAATTTTTAAATAATGTAGCATATTTCTAATTTAATACACAATAATAGGAAAGTTTCTGCTCTTTAAGCTGTCAGAAAGAGCACAATGCAAAGATAAGAACTAGATATAATAAAACTTTAAAGAAGAAGAATATTTAGATTTTATTTTTCTAAAGATTTGCCACAAGCATACAGAATCACGTTACGTCAAAGATATTTTAGTACAATAAAAAACACCTTTAATTTAATTATTCCAAATAATTATCCTATTTTATCAAATTAATAGTCATATTTTTAAATATTAAAGTAGAATTTCAAGTTTATGTACTAGTCTATGTACAAGTCTATGTATTAAGTACTACTCTAAGTTTATGTACTAGTCTATGTCAATAGTTTTAACTGCTTTCTCTTATCGTGCCAGCTACCAGGCTCAAAATTTTTTGATCTCCTCTACTTCAAATCATCTTGATCTTTATTTTTGTTCAAAATATACTAAATGCATGTTTTTAAGACATATGCAACAGAATTTTTATAAAGATTGACGAAACCCTTCTCACCGAACAAATATTCCACGCCAAAATTTTTATTTCCCTTGATCTGCGTTTCTTGAATGCTTTTTTTCATGTCACAGAAGGTTCCTTAAACCGATGATATTTAACAATTTTAAATAATATTTTTATTATTGCTTTGAAAAATTTACTTCATACAGTTTTATTTTAAAACTGCTACTTTCTCCAATTTAAAAAAAACCCTGTATTTACCACTAACTAATGCAGTGCATTATAAAAAATTTGAAATTGAGAATATGAAATCTCTTTTATTCGATACCTTCTTAAATTTTTTTGAACAAATTATTTATAGATATTTTTTACGCAATTAAATCCGTTTTGCTCGCATATAACATTTAAAGAAATTATTTTGAAGGTTTCTTATTATTAATGATGATTAAATATGCACAAATACTAAAATGATGACCCGTTTCAGCGAAGTAGAATCAATCACCTTTTTTAATGAGGTCTACTTGTAATATTGTATCCATCTGAAACTAATGATAAATAGATGCGTGCATTATAGGTTAAAAGATGTGCTTTATTTCCTTACCTGTTCACAACTTGAGGACTGGAACTAATCTAAAGCTTTCAAAATTATAACGCTAAGTGTGTCACCAATGATTAATCTTGTAAAGCTTTAGTTTTAGATGAATCTGTCAATTTCTTCTGTGAATTTATAATTTGAGATATGTCTCAATTTGAATTAATAAATTATAAAATTTGATTTAAAAAACGTTGAGTTTTAAGAATATAAAAGAAATTGGAATTGATATTGAATGTATAGAAATGAAATTGATTTCATTACCATTATTACTATATTAATATATCTGCAAATGTTATCTAAAATATAATAAATACCGTAAATGTAAACTTATAAGTAAATTTTGCATAGCTGCTTTAAAGTCTTCATTTTAGCTTAAAAAGTATCTATCAGAAATTTTAATGAACGTTATATAGAAAAAATATTGAAATTGTTTTTATTTCCTAACGCAGATGATATAATTTATTAGCTTTGCGTTGTTGCTTCATTTTATTGCTTAGTATTATTACTTTATTCGCTAAATGTTATAAAAGATTCAATTGTAATATCAATTAGTTATATCAAACAGTTTAGTTATTATTTTTAAATTTTCAAGACTCTTTTTCATACACGTATAATTTTTCAGCCTTATTAAGGTTGTTTTGTGCCAATTTGTAATATTTTGAATTTTAGAATTTTAGTATCATAAAGTATTTGTCTGGAATAAGTATATATTCCATATAATATATTTATTATTACATGAATACAAATCAGTATATTTTAAAATTATATTATCCATCTTGAAGATCTGTTTCCTCCCTCTATACAAGGAATGTTCAGTAGTTTGCCGTATATAACTGTACCACCATATAATATAATATAATATAATATAATAAGATATGATATGATATGATATGATATGATATGATATAACATAACATAACATAACATAATATAATAAAATATAATATAATATAATATAATATAATATAATATGCCAAAAAATAAATATTTATAAAATACTGATTATATAATTTTAAAAACAGAACTGTTTAATGATTTGAAATGTCATATTTATGTTTTTTATTACCATACTTTCAATTTTATTTTAAAATGACAATTAAACTCTAAATTCTTGATTTTCTTTACAAAAATAAACATTTATGTTTTTACTAAAAGAATTTCCAATTGAATTTTAGAATAAAAAACTCCGAATTATTATTTTGTTTTACTAATCCTTGTAGATAGGTTTGTATAAATATTTACGAAACATTCTAATTACCGAATCCTTTACTGTTTCTAAAACTAGAAACATAACTCATTTGTTTCTTACAAAGTTTAAAAAAGACACTGACAGATTATCAATCAAACGAAAGCATCAAATATGTCAAGTTTTCAAAAGAATGGCCTCAATAATTTTCGTTGCCACATAATCACCACTTTGAACTTGAAAAGAACTATTGTGAGAACTTATCCAATTTCTGGTATGCTTTAGTCTTAGAAATGTTTCTTTGAATTTTTTTCATAAGTTTCAGAAACTTTTTTTCTCTGTAGGTCAAATGACATTGCACATCACATGTTGAGTGGTTGCTAATTTACGAACTTTAATTTACAAGTTCATATTAATTTAAGGGCAAATATGTAAACTAAAATAAGCATTATATCTTGGACATTAAAAAGCGTAAGAAAAATAGGAATTTCTGTTGAACAGTCGAAATGTATATTGAAAAAAATATATAGTTTCAAATGAATAATTTACTAGGAATTTTAAAATGTAGCGTTTTGCAATTCAAGATAAACTTTTGAATCTTTAATTACTGTTTCTGCTATCATCAAACATAAAATGATATTTTTAAAGAATCATAAAACATTTCGGTTTGAATTCTGTTTAAAATGGATTTCATTAAAACTTAAGCATATGTAACTATATTTTTGCTTTAAATTATTATTTTTTTATGGTTTGGTAGAAGATAATAAATTTGTAGCTAAGTATAAATTATGGCTATTTTTTGAAAACAAAATATATTTATTAAAAATAAATATATTTCATTTTACAAATAAAAAAATATTTATTCTTGATCATATTTTCACGTATTAAAATTTCTTATGCAGTTAAAAGAAAATATAATTAATTTTTTCAATTAAACTTGATATATATTTTGATTTTTTATAAATATAATTTTCTTTACTTTATAAAAATATAATACGTGTTTCCAAAACCATGTAGGAATTAAAAGACAAAATTTTACAACTGATTCGAATACTTAATAATCATTAATAACTAAAATTAAATACTCAATTACAACTTTAAATTGTTTCAAAGCCTATTGTATTAGAAAGGCAAGAATATAGATAAATTTATTAAACAATTTACGCCTAAATTAAACATGATAAATCAAAGGATAAA